TTTTTTTTTATATGTACAGCACTGAATTGAAAATATTTAGTGGTTTACACGATAAAATTTTAAAAACGGATTGTTTGTAGCAGAACAATATAATATTATAGCTAAATTAAGGAAGCATCTGACAGTAGTGATTAATGACTCATTAATCACTGCCATGATTAATGGGTAGTATTAAGGTCGAGCAAACAGACGTATAATGGGTACATTATACAATAGTCGTGGATAAAGAATATTACTGAAACCAATTTTTTGAAACGTTTCATTGGAAACGTATTTTGGTGAGGACATCTTGGGCTTCTAGAACGTTACCAGAACGTTGCATGGATTTTTTATGAAACGTTTCAAGAAAAATAGAAACAATTCTGAAACATGTCAGAAACTAAAAATGTTTAGTGGGTGAATCGTAAAAAAATATTTTAAAAACAAGTTTTTATTAAAATGCACTAAAAAGAAAAAATAAACCAAGGAGTAAATGACACCTGTAATGTTGTGTAAACTCCAAACCCACGAAAGGGTTGAATATGGCTGCTCTATAGGCCAATCAATAGAGATGTTGTTTATGGCAAAAATACCAGTAGCCAATGGACTGTGTCATCATAGAAAAGACAGTATGTAGACATATGCTTAGAAATTTCCCTCTCGAATTTACAGTTAATTAATTTCTTATAAACATTTTTATACAAAAAAACGCATTTTTTAGTTTTTTGCTTATAAAACCTAAACTAATGAAGCAACCTGAATGCTATAAAGAGACAATTTGTAGATAATTGAAATACACATAAAACGAGATCGATCGATCCGATCGGATGATTAGAAACGAAAAAAATCCGGAAAACCGGAAAATTTTTCGTTTTTTTTTTAAATTCATTACTCTACCATTTTTTAAGTTGTAGAACTGACCCTGTGCACAAAAGTAATGAATTATATGTTCTTTAAGTGTGCACAAAAAAGGCGTTGTCGGGCCATTAGTTTTGCCACAATTGCCATTTGAATTTTGAACGAAGTAGAACGAAAATAACGAGCGTTCAAATAAAAACGTGGTCAAGTTGGTTCTGAAAATTTGGACGTAGGGCTTAGCGTATAGCGAATGAACTTAAACGTCATCTGTCAAAGCGCTATATCGCCGCTATCAATTTGAATATTTTCGTTTTAAAAAGCGTTTAAAATGGTGTTTTCTCAAGAACAAAAAGTGTTTATCATAGAGTCCTACTTTAGAAATGGACGCAAGATTGATGGAATATGGAAGTATTCTATTGAGGAATGTTTCATAGAATTTCAAAATCAATTTCCCGGCGTTGTTGAGTACAAAATTTTTCAAAGTGCAGTTCAGCGTTGTGTTAATGTTTTTCGTGAAACGGGCAGTGTAACAAGAAAAGAAGGAAGCGGCCGACCTAAAAAGCGGACTGAAGAATTAAAAGAAAATGTCCAACAAATAATGGAAAATGTGCCAAGAACTTCTGTACGTGTTTTATCACAAATGGTGGGAGTATCAGTCGGTACCTGCCAAACAGTGTTAAAAAAAGCTCCTTTAATTGTTTGTTATTGTTATCACGATCATTCTTTAAAATAAAGTTATATAGTCATTAACGTTATTGAAACTGACAGCTGCTATACAGCTCGTTGAGAAATGAGGTTAAGTTGGTCGCTATAAACTACTCCCTACGTCCAATGTGTCAGAGCCAACTTCGACCACGTTTTTATTATTACTATGCATTTATTCTTTTAAATTTATATTTCCAAATACATAATAACTACATATTGCATTATTCATATTATATCCTCTAAATTTCCAAAATCAAAATTCACCAATAATTTTTTTTTTACTGATGAAATGCGTGACAATCAGATAAAATGAGAATGATACTCATATATTTAACTTACCAGCCATATATCAGCCCTTATTACCATGTTGTTTAGTGTAGGTATTATTATGATTTATACATATTTTGTGCGTCGTGTCTGGAAAATCTGACATTGTAATTAATATTTATTTAGAATCAAGAGGTATGACCGTGACTATATAGTCGGAACAGTGGCGTAATTCTGTTATTTATCTATTTATAATTTAATATACTATACGGTCTAGTATTTATTTTTACATATTTTATTAAACATTCCCCAACCTCCTTCGCTTTTTATTTAGTAAAGTACATTTCCGTCACTATCGCTAGTTATAAAATTACATGCATCGCAAAATGTCACGCACTTTCTCAGTAAGATAAAGGTGAACATTTTATGAAGTGTTTGTATGTTCGCTTAAAGATAGTTCAGTCATAACAGCCAATACAATGATACAAATACCAATCACAGCAAACTCAGTGCTAGTAAAAATATTTCTGTTGACATGTAAAAATTGTAAATAGATTTAATTGCGATGGAAAAAGCCGTGGACAGGGAAACACTGAAACTGTAACCAGTGCTGTAGTTACAAGTAAAACAGTACTATGTAGTACAGGTACATTTGTTGTTAATATACAGGGTGATCCTGGGTGAACCAAGTTTTAAGGCGTAAACCTCACCAGGTTTTAAATAAAAAGGTTCATATGAACAAGGTCGTTGTTCGCTTCGTTTTCATGATACAAGCTGTAGAAATTAGAAAAAAATATCACATCTAAAATATCTTTGCAGATATTTGACGTGGATAAGTTGACTTAACAATGTGCCAATCAGTAGTGGAGTGGTTAGTACTACCAGGAACTTCAGTTTCAATGCCAATAAGTCTTCGAGTGCTTTTAATTATCGATTTCGAAGACAAATGGTCTCTTATATTTTGTTTGAAAAATGAGCTGTTTTAGAGTTCTGAGATTTTTAATATTAAAGTTCCACAAAAGAGGAATTTTTTGTTAGAAATTCAATTTTATGTGAAACGTAATGCGCCAAAAGTTCAACAAACTACTGGCATGGACAATTTTAGGATCTTACCCTTACCCCTTAAAAATTTCTACATCAATGATTTTTTAAACTTTATATTTCACATTACCTTTAATTTAAAATCATATTTCTAACAATAATTCTCATAACTTTTGTGGAATTACTAGCTTTAATGTTATTTTCGATTTACTTAACTTTGTTGCAGTTGCAGATTCACTCAAGTTTCATCAGGCTACCTCAAACATGCCTAGAAATATATATGTCAGAAAATATGACACCCCGTGTCTCGAAACAAAGAAAACTACAATAAAATAATTTGCTCTATCGCCTGCTAAAGCCTTAAAATTTGAATGACCCTGTTAGTAGAGGTCACTAGGAATTAGAACACTTTCAATTTTTCTGTAAATTACACAGCCACATAAAAAAGTTGTCTGTACTTTTCATGCGACATATGTTATTCGTATTATTTTTGCCTCCTGATCACGAATCCGATGTCAGAATTGAGCTATCACATCACAGAAATTTCTTAACCTCAAAAAACCGGAAAAAAATAGTAAAAATTCACGAAAAAGTGCTAGAAAAATACAAAAAAAATTGTTTTTCTATATTTAAATGCTCATTTATATGGTTAAGATCCCGCCGAACATGAATCAGTGGTCAAAATTGATGATTCTTTTTCTAACCTCAAAGAAAACGGGTCAATTAAGGTCAGATATCACGTATTTTAAAAAATAACAAATTCATTTTGTAATATTTTTGTTTACTTTATAACCTGAGTCCCAATCATGTTTTGACCTTTTTTTTTTCGACTATATATTGTTCTTTTTTCTGTAAAAGATCTATTCACAGGTCTTCTGCCTAATCTCAGGTAATAAAGTACGTAAGTCATTGATTAAATTTTTAAAAACGATTTAGTAAATCTGATCTCGAATTCGTGATCAGTGACCCCGAAAACCCCCGTATATCAAATTTGGCGCGAATGCGTTAGTTTTTTAAATTCGGTCGGCCGCCATCTTGAATTTTGCAAAATTGACTTCGGGTCCGTGATCAGCGACTCCGAAAATTCCCGGATACCAAATTTGGCGCGAATCTGTTATTTTCTGAAAATTCGTGATATCTAACCTTACTTGACTCGTTTTTTTTAGGTTAGAAAAAGAACCATGAATTCTGACCACGGATTCACATTTGGCAGGGTCTTAACCATATAAATAAACATTTGAATATAGAAAATGTTATTTTTGACCTGTTTTTTGGGGTTAGGAAATGCCTGTGATGTGATGGCTCAATTATGACACCGAATCAGGAGGCAAAAATAATACGAATATAACATATGTCGCATGAAAAGTACAGACAACTTTTTTTTATGTGGTTGTGTTATTGAATCTGAGCAATTTTGTTGTCGAAATAACAATACAAGACCTATTATAACAAATTTTATGGGCCAAAAGTTAGATACACTTAACTTGAAATATTCGCATTTTTTACGAGGGCCGGAATATTTTGAGCCAGCCTCGTATATCGCGAATTATTCGTGAAACAAGCTCCGCCGCTGCCCACCACGATTACGAATTAAAAGCAAACACGCCATCCTAAAGATTTTTTCCATTTTTGCAGTAAAATGAGTAACAATACTAACATGCTGTAATCGGTCATAGAAGGCTGGGATAAAAACAATCGTCCGGTGCGCTGCATCTCAGTAGGTCTGGAACGGCCGCCTTCAAGTGAGAGTATATGAATCAATATCGGTCATGTACGGAATAGGTTTTAAAGTGTATCAGCTCATTTCTTTGGCCTTGGTGAGTATTTTTCGACAGACATTTAATGTACTCATGATGTTGATTCAGTCTTGTTTATCTAAACTATTAACCTGCTTCGCTGATTATTTTGCGAATAAGGAAAAACAATGAAAATGTTCAATTGCAACAATCGTACACGCTTGGAAATTTAGCGCGCTGTCGGGAAAAGAAAAATCTGACATCCAATAATACAACGTAGGTTAGTTATACAATTATAATTCTAATACATTTAAACATTGGTTCACGGACGACCACATACCTGAATTCTGTCCAAAACTACAACGCCTTAAGATAATATAAAACAGTACATTTTGCGCCAAAAACGTTGAAAATTCTGTTCTGTAACATCCAAACCTTGCGTCCGATCCAAATATTCATATTAATAGAAACGAATAAGAAAGCAGTGATAAAGAAAACTATCCCAACTGTTACCAGTTGCATTTTTATAACCTTGCATGCCGCCAACATATTGATGAAATGACTTAACCTGCTCGAGAATTGCGAGTGCTGCATTCGATCTTTCTGGATCTATTATAAATTATGACCTGCCCATACCAGATTGCTAATGTAACATTGTTTTGTGGGCTATAAAAAGAAACTAAGAAATGCCATTGTCTAATAATAATAATCAAGTTTGTGTAGGTATATTTAAAAATTTATATAAATTCTGTGAATCAATGACTATCAACTCTCATACCGCATTATTGGGTACCCGAAAAAACAAACTTTAATTCATACAGGAAGACGATTATCTATTGGCCCTTTTTGCCAGTTGAAATACAGGCAATTGATTTATTATTTATGAAATCGAAATATCAAAAAAGAAAATATAAAATGTACCTACCTGTATTGGCTGAATCCCCAACATTTTATTAATATATTTTTGTGTTATTAGAAAATTAATATATTGTCGTTTTCAGGTTGGCAGTAGTTTTGGCTATGGAGCTTATGGTAAGTTAATAAATGACAACTTTTGATATATTTTCAAAATGTTAAGCCTGAAAAAGTCAATATTTCATATTAAAATAGTTTAATTAATTAAATGATTTATTGCTGGACAAAAGAACGTTGTTTGATATACAGGGTGAGTCATTAATAATGGTACACAGCTTAATGGCATATTGTTAACGTCAAAATTAGTGATTGAGCCAAACATGCCTTAATCAATTATTGCTCCTTTTCGTTCTACAGGGTGTTAAAGTTGAAAAAATATTTTCCTTTTTTATCTATATTTTAAGTATGTATGGACCGATTGTTTTGAAAATTTGTAGTTTTACGTTTTTTGAGGAGACAAATACGAATATGCAAACAGTGTTGGGGTTACGTCTAGAGGGGGCTAGTTATACTGTTATACTATATTTTGAATTTTTTAACTACAAATTATTGAACTACGTTCAATTCTAAATAAAAAAGGTGTACTACTTACAAATCGATAAACTAAACTGTTTTCGAGTTACAGACGTTTTAAGTTTTTGAGATTCGGTGGGAACTAAATTAGAAAATTAGCAGGTCTTAAGATACCAAGCCTGAATTAAGAATTAAGACAAACATTACAGAAATTAAAGATTTTATTATGCATATCTTAACAAATTATTAACTTCCAGCAACTTCAATGCACTTTCTTAGCCTTTTACGAGATATTCTCTTCTTTAAAAAATAACGACAAGGAAAAAACTACTTAACCAAATTGAGATCAAATTGAGTAGAATTGTAGTGACAGCTGTCAATTTATTATGTCCATGTCTACTACTTTGGAAAAAATAATTTTCTAATTTAATTCCCGTCGAATCTCAAAAACTTAAAATGTAACAAGTATACCTTTTTTATTTAGAATTTAACGTAGTTCAACAATTTCTAGTTAAAAAATTCAAACTTGTAAAATATAAAAACTAGCGCCCCCTAGACGTGACCCCAACACTATTTGCATTTTCGTATTTGCCACCTCAAAAAACGTAAAATTTTCAAAACAATCGGTCCATACATACTTAAAATATAGATAAAAAAAGAAAATATTTTTTCAACTTTAACACCCTGTAGAACGAAAATGGGCAACAATTGATCAAGGCATGTTTGGCTCAATCGCTATATTTTGACGTTAACAATCTGCCATTAAGCTGTGTACCATTATTAATGACTCACCCTGTATAAATAGGTAGTCTTATATGTAATACATTTAAATTAAAGTACAAAAATACTTTCGAATGAATCAATTCGAAAATCTCTCAAATCTCTTCAAAAAAAAAATTAAATTATAGTTTTTAGTTCACTTCATTATAGGTCTATAATTTCTACTGTACATTTGGTTTCAACTAACAGCTTATTACTATCAGTAATGAATTGATATAATTCAGTTGACGACTTTATGTAAACATTTATGCAAGTGTTTCCCATTAAATTATACATTTAACGGGGACTTTTAATTTATTAAGATCGTAATTATATTTGCGAAAAAATCAAACAGGATGCGTCATTTACCGTTATATACTTTTTATGTAAAACAATAAGTGATTTTAATCAAGGTTACGAAAGACATGAAGCGCGTCTTCCAGAATACCTTTCTATTAATAAAAATTAGTTTTTACTGGCACATGGATCGGCTGTTGTTCTGATAAGATCCAAAATCATCTATTTATACACAAGTTAAAAAAAGAGAATGAAAAGAACGCGAAGTTGGTCTTAAATGTATTAAAATCTTTTTAGCCAATACCTTAATATCAATCGGCGACGATTAAATTACAGACAGAAGTCTATATCTACCGACATTACTCCAAATCTACTATACCTATTATTATTGCAACATTTAATCTTTAGAATTTATTCCAGACACTAAAACGTCGACGTGTATTTGCAGCCTTAGAATGTTGACTGGTATATCCTATACATTTTAATAATAATGTAATAGCTTTTTTTGAATATCAAATATATTTGTATTAATTGCATTCAACATAAACAATTTATGACATCACTCATATCCGTAAGAAACAAACATGCAATGGGAAAAATTTGTACATCATTTGATTAAAATTAAAAAATAAATCTCCATAAATATTTACGCAGACACCTGTACTCGGATGTAGGAACATCATATCTAATGTTAATGTACTGTTGTCCACTTCACTTTTCATAATTTGGATATATTTATATACGTTTTCTGTCGTTAAATATGAAGAAAAATTTCAATTAAGTACTTTGAGTATAAACGCAGACGGATAGGAGTAATGAATGTTCAATGGTATGGCCTTCACTTTGACCCGATTTTAATCTCACAATCAAACCATCAAACCAATAGAAATTGCATAAGAACAAAGCAGTAAAATTGAAAATATTTGTTAAGGTTTTATCACACGTTAGGGCAATATCTTGTCTGTTAGACTTTTTTTCTAACTTTATTTAAAATTTTCAACATTTCTAAATAATTTTAGGTGAGGTACAGGGTGATTCACTATATTTTGAATGTATGTATATTTTATTTAAAAGTTGATTTTAGGCGAAAATGGAAGAGGAAAAAATGTTTGTAATTAAATTTTTTACAAAATATGATACAAATCGAATGAATCATGATTATTATTGTAAAAATCGAAAAAATCGCCATAAATGGGGTTAAAAAACATTAGTTTTTAGGGATTTTTTTTGGGATCTTTAAATTGGGTATAGGACCTTCATACTTGGCTCAAGAAAACTTCATGTTATGTAGAATCATCACACCAAATTTCATCAAAATCGGTTCGATAGATTTTGAATAATTTTGCAATCCAGATTTTGAGACAAAAAATTTGCAAATTTTCAAATTTTTACACAGCAAAAACCAAGGTCCTTAGATACTTGAAAATTTAATCACATATAGAAGGGCTCTCAAGCTTTCAAACGCTTTTTGAAAAATTCGAATCCGTCAATTAGGAGAGCTCTGGCGCTTGTTTAAACATTAGTCGAATTTTTGTATTTATAAACAATTAGAATAACTGAATATTCAATCAAATCAAATTTTTTAAAATAGGTTTCAAAAGTTCTTGGAAAGACGCTTCTTCCATCTCTAACAATAAGCGACATACTATTAAAATAAGAAAAGAAAATTTATTAAGAAAATAAGATATCTTGTACATAATTGTTAAACTGCTTTCAGGTACTTCTTCCTTTTTCCCATTGCGTAAGGATTTACAGATTTAGTTGTAATATATTTTGACATATTGGACATTGATATGGTCCAAAATGCGTTTAGGTATTTTAATTAAATCTCACTAATTAAGCCGCTTATTGTTAGAGATGGACCCAACAAACCCTATATGACTATGCTCGACAGGGAACGTTCTATCCAAATATGTAAAAATATACAGGGTGTTCAATTTAAATTAACAATCCGCTGCCATTTTGTATGGACTTCATTTGTTTTTCAAATATCATTTTCGAAAAATTCATAAAAAGTCGTGCAACTTTAGTATTTTACATTTTTTTATAACTCTTAAACCAAAAAAGTTAAAGGGTGGTCAAAATATAGTGAATCACCCTGTACATTTCACTGTACATAGTTGCTTCTAATGATTTAATAATTTTTTAAATTTTATATCGACTTGATCAATCAAGGTTAGGTTAAGTTTGATTCGGAAGGATTGTTAAGTACGTATTTTTATCTTTCTTTTTTCTTCAAATGTCCCCACTTTTTGTGTAGATCCTTCCACAAAAAGATTTGGAAAATTTGTAATTTTTGTTTGCCCTAAAGTGTTATTAAAAATGAGTGCCCATAATTTTTTTTATTACTTATATCTAATTATACTCCCAATTTTTATTTTTCCATTTTTATAGGAAATTGTTTATTTTAAAATATTTACATATATCTGGAATTTTATATCTATCCACAGTTATATCTACCACTTCTTCTAGCGTTGTAGATTTTAATGACTACTTATTGTGTCTCCTACAGTGTGTTAGCAGTTAGATGAACTCTTATCTTTACATAATTTCAAAATTCACAACAAATATTTCGGGATACCTTAAGCACGAAAAAAGTGTTGAAAAATTATTGTCATCTAACTTCTAATACATGCATGGGTATAGCACTGATATAATATCCCATTTACTTAAACGTACTAATTTTATATGCAACTAAATAACTAAATAAATGTTTTCCTTGGATTTCCCAAAATTAACTCATTTTTATCATGAATAACAAACGCAGTTGACATTCAGTCAAAATGATTCACACCACAAAACCACATCGCACATCGTTTCAACGATTCCTTTGTTATTAACAAAAGCAAATGTTTCATACTTCCTGTCGCACCGCACCTATAACATCTTTTTAACAGATTTCAGCCACCTCAACAACCTGGGTGATCAAATAACTCGCAACGTGAACGAACAGCTCGCGCCACTTCAGGATCTAGGCGCTAGGATATCCGCCAGCGTCAACCAGCAATTAGAGCCCCTAAGAAACGGGAGGTTCTTTAATAATGTCTATAACAATGTTAACCGAGAGTATGTGGGATTGCAGAAACCTTTGATCCAACCTTATCAACCATTTGCAGGAGCTAACATCGACTTATCGGGACTGGATAATCTCGGGGAGCAGATACAGCAGAGCGTCTATGAAGGGCTGGAGCCGGTAAGGGCGTTGGAGATCACGACGAGGATGAAGAACGGCGTGGGTGGGACCACGATTGCAACCCATCTACCAGAAGGTATGTCACTAACATGGGGCGTATTTTGACCAATTTGGTGTTTTTACCCTTTCGAGTATAAAAACGAGCAACTTTTTCAGTTTAAAGAAAGCGTATCTACAGTCCATTTATTATACGCAATCGTGATATAGAAATGATTACACTGGCCGACAAAATTTCTAGTGGAGGAAATGAAACACTGAACCTCCGAAATCTGTGCAGTAAGATGGATAGTGATGCGGTTTTTTGCATTCGATTCGTTAGAGCGTCCAGAAAGTTTGTGACCCTATGCGATCAATGAGAAATGAAAATTACATCGGTGCATAAGAAAAATGCATTTTTAAAATTGCATCTCGAAGAGTTAAAATATGAAAAATTTATAACTCGGAAAATATTGACGGAAATGAGTTCAATTTTGCTACTCGGGGGTTTTTGGGGTCGCTGAACACGAATATCACAACGGCAACGGTCTCCGAGATGCCTAGTGCCCAGGGTGGCCGGTTTCCACGTCGTCTGGAGTTTTGTGGAAATTCGTTATAAACTTAGCCGAAACTCGTTACTTCGGGGTTTTTGGGGTCGCTCAACACGAATATCACAACGGTAATGGTCTCCGAGGTACCGATGTCATCTTCATAAGCTCTATCGAATATCTAAATAAATTATCCGAAACATTTCTTTTTAATTTGTCGCTTTTAATACAGTCGGTAGCAATGATGAAATTTTAGGTAAGGACTGCAATCGCTGGCCGCTGCTTCCACGTTTTACTCTTACATAAATACTAATATGGTGTAGCATTTAAAATTACTACCGCCAGAAAAGTACTTAAAATTTGTAAAATCATATTAATTACTTTATGAATAACTAATTTTACAATTACAATGTAATAAGGTAACAGAAAAATTAAAATACTTGATAAGTGATATTGTAAAATTTAATGGAAAATACTTATACAGGTAACGGTAATAACAATATAAAAATATATATATTATCTACATTAGAATACCACAACTTTAAATAAAAGATGACGTAGGTGCATTTGTTTAAAACTGGTTCACAATTTATATGAATCCATATATTTCTTCGGTTTACAGTAACTTACCAAGTTACCTACAAAAAGAAAAAAGGTTAATTACTAATTACTAACTACCAAATACTTACCATCAAATAAATCTTCTTATTTAACAGTCCCATTCATCAGGTATTGAGTGTCACATATGTCTACCATCTGTATTTGTATTTCTGGTTGCCGAGTTCATCAATCGTTTATTCCGGAAATGTTACCCCCACCAAATCAAAGTACTTCCGTGGTACTAGAACCTTNACTTATTTTCACTCACCCTGTATATGTGACTAATAAATATCAGAGTCTCAGTAAAACCCTAACTTTATGAAGTGTTCTGACTTTCGTAACTTTGCAGAATACAGCTAGATAACTTACACTCATAAGTTACGTGGCGCCCTAATTTAACACCATACAGTATACACAATTTTAGCTAGCTGCTTCCTAACCTACGACCCGCTCTCACGACGAAAAGCTGCCGTTATGTGTGATTTTCTTGTGATTGAAAATAAATGTAAAATAAATAAAGAATAAAACAACCCCAATACCTATTTTGATAATCAAAAGAAAAAATAACACGGCAATATACTCTTACACATAATGGTATACAGGGTCGGAAAGTCCCCATGGTTCATCGGCCGTTACGTGAGAGCGATATAGAAATCCGTGCGATAGAGAAATATGGCTATAATGAAGGCGTCTCATAGTCACTGCCCGTTTCGCCCTTCCACAAATAAAAAGTGGATCTTATTTGTGGAAGGGCGAAATGGGCGGTGACTATTAGACGCTTTCATTATAGCCATCTTTATCGCACAGATTTCTATGACTTTCTTTATCGCTCTCACGTAACGATCGATGAACCATGGGGACTTTCTGACCCTGTATACGGATACGCTCCAAATTATAGCGCACACGTGAAATAAGAAAAATTAAAATTGTAAAGATATCTAAGTATAATATTTTTTTGAAAACATGTATTTTTTGTAATAAATAAATGTATTTTAATAATTAAGAATAAAATAGTTGTCACAGAAACCAGCCATCCTGGATATTAGGTACCTCGAGGACCGTTACTACTGTCGTGATATTCCTTTTGAGCGACCTCAAAACCCCCGAGGTAACGAGTTTCGGCTAATTGTAAGTTTATAACGAATTTCCACAAAACTCCAGGAGACGACGTGGAAACCGGCCACCCTGGGCACTAGGTACCTCGAAGACCGTTGCCGTCATGATATACGTGTTCAGCGATTCAAAAACCCCCAAAATTGAACTCATTTCCGTCGATATTTTCCAAGTTATAAATTTTTCAATTTTTAACTCTCGAGATGCAATTTTAATTTCTCATTGATCACATAGGATCACAAACTTTCTAGACGCTCTAACAAATCGAATGCAAAAAACTGCATCACGATCCATCTTACTGCACAGATTTCGGAGGTAAGACCGTTTTTAGTGCTTTATTTCCTCGACTATTCAACCAGAAACCAGGCTGCACTTTTCCGAAGGTTCTGGTTTAGAAGGTCAGTCACATTTTGTCGGTCTGTGTTACTGCTGATACGCTCATTTGTAAAAATATTTCTTAGGAAACGGAAAAAGTTAATAAATAGGCTTTAAAGGCCGATTTATAAAGACGATATATCTTAGCAAACTAAAACTATGTACCTACTGGTCATTGCCCTTTGTTCTACCGCCAGTTACAGTCTCTAGTTCCAATGTTGTATTTTTAACTTGATTTTTGAATTTTCCATAAAAAATGCGTTGTGTACAAAATTATGCTTCTACAAATATATCTGTTTTTTATAACGTCACGAAAAAAACAAAGTACGATCCTGGAAATGTACGATTTACTCGCGGACCTTACAACACAACTACTTTTTATATTTGACATTTTATTTAAATTAAAAAAAAACAGGGACAAAAAAACTTTAACAGCACATTAAAAATCTTTTAATGAAAAATGCTATTTTCGTACATGCCAAAGAAAGAAAAACGCACGCAGAATATGGACGATTTTAAAAGAGCAAGTTACGACGCATCAGCAAAGTGACCGATGACCGATTTTGATGAATAAGATATGAAAATATTCATAAAAAAGAAAATAACACAGGCCGACAAAATTTGACCGACCCTCTAACTCAGAAACCACAATGTATCTTTCCGAAGGATTTTGGTGAGCTGGATTCGAATCCGAGGTCCAAATTTGTCAATTGGCTCTGGTTTTCGACAAAAAATGCCAAAATTGAAATTTTTTGACATTTGAGGTTATGTAACATGGATAGGTATATTTTTTTTGCTAAACCGATTAATGGGGTCTTAAAGTACTATACTTACTCTTTAAAATGCATTTGGATTTATCCCGATATCACTTTTTGATCTTTGAGAAATCGCATATGATTTATTTCTCGATTTTTGAATATACTAATAACACAGCACGACAAACCGAAATTCATCGGTACCCGGAAGTAGGGATCTTACATGTTTTTAAAAATACTCTATCACGTCAAATTTTGCAAGAAATTTTAAAAAATGTAAAAATTCGAAATAAGGCCGATATTTTTCGCATTATGTCAATCTGGAAATACATCTACACGTAGAAGAGGCTAAATATGCTCAATCTCAAAAACCCTAAGGCCATAATCCATAACCCATAAACTCTAAAATTCGAGAAATAAGTAAAATTACTTTTCAACATACGATTTCTCAGACGAAAAATTATATCGGGATAAATTTAAATGCGTTTTAAAGAGTAAGTAGTACTTTAAGACTGCAATAATGGTTTCAGCAAAAAAATTTACCTTTCCATGTAACATAACCTCAAATATGTCAAATAATCGCGATTTTGACACGTTTAGGTTAGGATATCTCGAAAACCACAGCCACTTGAGAAATTTCGACCTTGGATTCGAATTCTTCAGTTTAAAAATCCAGAGAGAAAGATAGGTAGCATAGTACCTATTTATTTGATAAATTATTATCATTTTATGTTTTAGGTAAAAAATTCATAATCACTAACAACCAAATCAGCCAATGCGACGGATCCGTGTCAGACGACGGCAAATGCAGTGGATCCTTAACCCCCTTCAAAATCAACGAAAAAAAGGACCACTGCTACAACAGGCAAGGCTTCTCCCTCGTGAACAACTACATATGCATCGGTGCCTCGACCGTATCAATTGTAAACGGCCAAATTAGTTGTACCAATAGGTTCGGCACTCCTGCCTTGTTGATAACGTTAGAAGATTACAGGAAATTATGCGAAGGAATATCCACTTCGGTAGAGTACAAGTACATCGCCAATCCCCAAGATTCGAAACACGTGGAGATACCCAACAAGAATAAGTATGTTACATGTTCGAATAACCAACCAGGCGTGTGCGTATTTACCGAAACTAATGCTATACCGAATTCAAATGCGAATATTATCATTAACAGCTATAATTCTGGAGCTTATGTAAGCGTGTAGTGACAATAAAACTTATATGTACTTACTTTGAAGCAACACGTGATTTTAATAAAAATATATATATTTGTTGACTGTATTTATTTTCTGTCCGTTTTTGATTCAAAAGGAACGTTTGTTGACCCCCTCCCCTGTAATTTTTTACGGCAAATTAAAAAAAAACGTTAAGGAGGTTTATCGGGTACGGAGGTACGTCTAAAGTCTAACGAGAGTTTCTGTAGATTCGCTAGTGACTACAGTAGTAAGCCTTTAGATTTGGCAATGTTGCACTTGGCTGGCTCGCTCGCCTCGGCGTTCGCTCGTTCGCACTCGATCATTCTGTTTGCTTGGACACATGCATATTTCAAATAATACGCTACGTCGAGATCACGCATATGGAGGTTAAGTTAGTCAACAACAGCAGTTTGAAGGAGAATTATTATAAATTGTGTATCTTACAAGTACCTAATCGATTTCTACCAGCTGTCATACGGTTCCTTAGATATCGGTTTCCTATTTATACAAGTTGCTGTGGAGACTGTTCGTCAATTGTTGCGCATTCTATGTGGAAAGACCAAAAAAATCTGCATTCACATAAGACTTCATACTAAATCGTGAAAAATTATTTTATTAATATCTTGTCTCTTAGGTATCAAAACTAGTCATAATTTTGTTTGAGGATTCTCTTCATATTAATAAGCTTATATTAATTTTTTTTATAAATATTTGTTTGTCAATTCCAACAAATCAGATACCTCCTTAAGTTAAAAGTCGTTTTGTTTATAAGTGTTGTATTTTCGTAAATAGATTTTTTACGCAGTTTTTTTACGTATAGGTAATTCAGCAACGTACGCGATAATTTTCTATAATTTCCATTTCTTCAATTACAAGATAAAACAAATACATATTTTTTTATGGAACACTACGTACGTATATATTTTTCTATTTTTGAAATCCATGTAAAAAATCCCTTTCAAATGATGTTTTTATACATTATATTTACAGGAAAAAATTCATTCAAGGAAGAAATGCCAGATTTTTGTTATTCAACTGTTTATTGATGTTGACACAACTAAGTGTGCCATGCATGTGTTTAATGTATAGATGAAAAAAATTTTAATAATAAAATGTTTTTTTTTATACAGGGTGTCCCACCGGGAAATGCGTCGATTGATATCTAGGAAAGTACTGCTCCGAAAAATTTGAAAATTTGGCAGCATGGCAATATTCCTGGGGCGAACACAACTAAAATATCTAGAACTATCCAGCACTTCCGGGTATACCGGAAGTGGATACGAACTTTGTTATTTTAAATGGGACACACTATATATTATTGAATTTTCGGATTCTACGTGAAATTTGAGGGTCACTTTATTAAATATTCCCTATACCTAGGAGTTATAAAATTTGAGATATTAATATTTAAAGAAAAAAATTTGACATATGCAAGGGTCCGCGGAGATGCTAGTAACTCTCTTCAGGAGCGTGATGTCAAGTGGATTTTTGGTACCTGTAAAGGGCATGGGTAACGCTAAATTATGGTATAATAACAAATTAAAACATTTAATACTAGGTGTTTCATTTTTGCTGTTACATTTTGACAACTTCAAACAGCTATAACTTTGTTAACTTAAATGGAACACCCTATATTTTTTTGCTCTGTCGTATGCAGATTCAAATTTCCTTTCAAGCCATATCAGCATTGTTAGGGTTGCCCTTACTACTTTTAGAGATGTTTGCAATGTTCAGCTTTTTGGACAGTTTTTTCTGGTATCAGACCTGTTGTCAAATTGGCCATGACCACAAACACTCCAAAAACAATTGCAATAACTTGATGTTTGTCAAGTTAGTTGTCAAATGAATGTTGTGTCTAAATAGTTTTTGCTGAAAATTTAAATAAAAATTATTATTATTTTAACTTGTTTGTTATTTATGGAAAAAAAGCAGCCAATTCTCCACATGTTCTTGAAATTACTTTGTCACATTTTCCATAAATAACAAACAAATTAAAAAATCCTCATTAGTATAATTTAAAAAATTAAAAAATTTAATTTGTCTCATTTTTGTAGTGTGTCCAGGCAATTTTATTTAAATTTTCGGCAAAAACTATTACTTATGTAACAATAATTTGACAACTAACTTGACAAATGTCAAGTTATTTCAATTGTTTTTGGAGTATTTCTGGTCATGGCCAATTTGACAACAGGTCTGCTACGAGAAAAACGTCCAAAAAATAGAAAATTGAAAATATCTCTAAAAGTAGTAACGGCAACCCTAACCACGCTTATATGGCCTGAAAGGAAATTTCAGTCTCCATACGACAGAGTGAAAAAATACAGGGTGTTCCATTTAAGTTAACAAAGTTATAGCTGTTTAAAGTTACCAAAATGTAAGAGCAAAAACGAAACACCTAGTATTAAATGTTTTAATTTCTTCGTATACCATAACCTATGCCCTTTACAGGTACCAAAAATCCGCTTGACATCATGCTCCTGAAAAGAGTTACCAGCATCTCTGCGGACCCTTGCATCTGTCAAATTTTTCTCTAAATATTAATATCTCAAATTCTATAACTATAGGGAATATCTACTTAATAAAGTACTCAAATTTCAGGTAGAATCCGAAAATGCAATAATATATAGGGTGTCCCATTTAAAATAACAAAGTTGGTATCGACTTCCGGTATAACCGGAAGTGTTGAAGAGTTCTAGATATTTTAGTTGTGTTTGCCCCAGGGACATTGCCATGTTGCCATATTTTCAAATTTTTTGAAGCAGTATTTTCCTAGATATCGATCGACGCAGTTCCCGGTGGGACACCCTGTATTGATTTAAAAAAAAAGATTGAATTTTTAAAACAACGTCTCCTAATCGTCACAAATGACTTTAAGTTAACCCAAATGAATTTTCTGAAGTCAGTTTTTTTAAATATTTACGTTTTTATGTTTTCAAACAAAAACTCAATTGAATTTTAAAAATTACTAACTAGTGCCACCAAATAATCACAGGTAATAACTTTTGACTCTGTTCAAAGTCAAGTTAATATAACCTGTGAATATGAGGAAAATTAAACAGTATTCAAGCTATATTGTCTGTGGTATTCGTATTAAATTGAACACTCAGAATTCCCCAAGGATCTGCCTTGAGACCTTCACTGTAGATATACTGTCAATGATTTTTTATTATTTACATTCATATGATAACATGTAAGAATAAATGAATACCATAAAAAATAAATATTGTTTACAATGGAATCAAAAGGGTTTCGGTTTGCAAAGGAATGTACATATTTCTGATAAAAATACATTAATGGACCTACCCTAAAAAAAAGTATTTCATCTCGAGTTGCAAATGCTATTTTTTTTATTCATGTATAGATTCTTATTCAATTTATCTTAAAATTAATGGTTTATTACTGTTTCCCGTGTATAATAAATAACTATTTTTTTTCACTGCATAGCAAAAAGCCTTATTTAAAAAATATATTAAAAATAATGTCATTAATAAATTAATACTGGTTGTAACTTTATCCCATTTAATGTTAAATTAACACAAGGCAAATTGTAAATATTAATAATGATAAATTCCTCAAGGATCTATCTTGAGGCCACCACTGTATATATATTTGTCATTTATTTAAATTACCTGCATAAATTCATAACACTCATATGGTAAAATATTTCATGTGAATAATTAATGTTTCTTATGAAGAGAATATAAAACCATTTTGGCTTGTCAAAGCAATATATTCCTATATAATAAATGAAAAACTTATTTATATGGTACAGTACAACCACTATATGTACTTTAGCATCATTCCAAGCTCCGTGCAATAACAAATGTCTCAAATAATCATAAAAAATAGAAAAAACAATTAGAAAAATATAAAAATAATAAAAATCTACAAAGTAAAAAGAAAATACTTGTTTGTAATTTTATCAAGTACTCAACATTTAAACTCTATAATCTGGAACAAACTTTACATATTTATAAATCAGATCAATTTTGGTTCAAATTACTGGACTCGTCGTGTGAAAATAACACAGGCATACAAAAAAAAAGTCCAAACCCAAGAGATCCACATATCATTTCCGAAGGGTATCAAAATTCATGACTTCCCGATGAATTTTGGAGAAAACTGAAATTTTTGGGTGGAAATTGGCCCCAAATATGGGTCAAAACTGACTTTTACCTAAATTTTGTCCAAATTATTATTTTCGTAGTATTTTGAGGTGCTGAACGTGACGCCATTAGAAAAATTTACCCGTAACCTCAATCATTTTCAGAAAATCCACTCTTTGGGTGAAAACTGACCTAAATATTGGTCAAAACTGATTGTTTCCTAAATTTTGTCTAAATATATAATTGTTGTAGTATTTTGGGGCGCTAAACATCATGCCATTGGTAAAATTTACCCATGACCTCGATATTTCTCAAAAAATCCATATTTGGACCAGTTTGCACTCAAATAGTGGATTTTCTGAGAAATACTGAAGTCATGGGTAAATTTTACCAATGGCATCTTGTTTACCGCATCAAAATACTACAAAAATGATATATTTAGACAAAATTTAGGAAACAATCAGTTTTTACCAATATTTAGATCAGTTTTCACCCAAAAATTTCACTTTTCTCCCAAATTCATTGGGAAGTTATGAATTTTAACCACTGATTTGTGTTCAGTGCATCGAATTTCTTCAGAGATGATAAGTGGTTATCTTGGGTTCAGACTTTTTTTATGTGTGTGTGTAATTAGTTATACAGAAGACAACCACTGTATTCTGTATTTTGTATACACTCACTTTCTGAAATAATTACAGGATTTAGGACAAGGTAAGAAATTATATACCTCCGTATTCTAAAAATCACTAAATATATTTCTGATATAAAATTACAAAACTTCTTAATACTAAAATGAATACAGGTATTTCAAATACCAATACCTTTTAGAAAATTTAATAATATATTAAAATAAATAGAATACTATATTCCTATGAACAAGATAACCTTCGTGTAAGTTTGCTGATGATAAGAATTGTACTTCCAACGCAGCATGACCCAAACATGACTGCATAAAAGCAAATTTACACAACGCTAAAGTTGAAGTCATAAAATATATGTATAACATAAAAACTTCAAGAAAAAAGTAAATAACTATCTGCAAATACAAATAATCGCTTACTTTTTGGAAAATATCACATAGAAAACTAATTTAGATCACACATGAAAATGGAATTTTACAATTTTTACAAAAAAAAAAAAAACTAAAGAACACTAAAGGGATCAGTCTCTAAAAAAATCTAATTATTTTTGTGCAATTCCATTCCGCAAAATTCTTGTAAAGCCAAATTATTTTAAATGACTGCAACAAATATAAAAACTGAGATTCAAAAATAACCTCTAGAAAAAGTTGCACAATAATCCTAAACATTTTTTGCAAAAAAAATATTGCATTAGTAAAATTACCAACGAAGTAAAAAATAAACTGCCAACTTTACATGCCCGTCAATAATGATAAATTATCACAAACGACCTCTAATATAACTTTTTAAAATTTCGAGACCATACGCTCATATCGCTCATCTAAATATTCCTAAATAATGGATTAACTTTTAGGATAAAATATATAATACTGAACTAAAAAAATTGGAAAACAATTTTAGTTTGTTGTTAAAATTTAACTACAAGTGCCTAGTGCTTCGTCTGCCAATAATAAAAATTTAAACTTTCTTCAAATTACAATGACAATTAAAGTTTAAAATTCTAATAAAATAGCCAATAATATGCAAAATACGGAATGTACACAAAGGAATTTTTTTAGATAATCTTGAAAAATGTAGGCGCACTTCCAATAACAAGCATATTGCACTAATGATTTTTGATATGTTTTGAAAAGTTTAAAATATGGGAATTCATGAAATATATTAGACATTTGATTATTTTAGAAAATAGTTTGATTCTAAGTTTTGTTTTATGGATCATTATTAAATGTAAAATATACAGAGTATGAAAAATGCTTTGTCACAATTTAATGGTGGATTCATTATAATTAAAAAAAAGTTCCTAGAATTGTGTCCGGAATTGAAAATTAAGATTGCAAGTAAAAGTCTACCCTTGAAACTATGACTCTGTATGTAAAAAAAAAAAGTATGGCAATTTCAGGAGGTCCTAAAACTGATGGTTGGCTGCCATTACAGGAAAACGGAAAGATCAAAAAAGAAACCACAAATAGGGATTTTTATGATATAAGTGTTTGACATGAAATTTCGTCTTGATAAGTTTACCACTGTGATGTCATCGAAATTATTCTTCCCCAACTCATAAATACCTACTTTTTACAATATATGTGTCGTGTTTTTTTTTTCCTAACAAATTTTATGGAGAAAGATTATACAGGGTGTCACGCTTAAATGTGATACAAGCCTGTGTTGCCGTGGAAAATAAGATAGTTTCAATGTTTATTTAATTACTGATAGGTTTTAATTATTTTCGCGTTTATTACTAATTTATTAATAGTCACTGAAAAAGTAGATATTATTATTTAGACTCTTGCAAAAATTCAAAATTAGCAGAACTGCTGAACTGAAACAAACAATTGCAATACTAATAAAATCAGTAACAGACTTGATCAAACCAAAATATTTCTCTATACACATCATTTTGTATCTATTAAACAGGAAGAGATATCAAAAAACTTTTTTAGTAAAAATTGTTGAGAAAAATATATAAATTAAAAAAAAGAATGTTTGATAAATTTACAAGACGGAATTTAAATTCAAATGCTTGCTTTTTCCTAGTTATTCTTTCCATTTTCCTGTAATAACACCAGTTTTGGATCACTCCATACATACATTTGTGGATAAGTAATAAACTAATTCCACATTTGAATTAAATTTTCTTGTAATTATAAAAAAAAATGTTTTTCAAATTTTAACACTCGATATTGCGAAAACAAACTGTTTTTGGACATTACACTTAAGAGAACTTATTTGGTTAATTGTAAAGTCTGCCATTAAATTCTGGCCTAGCACTTTTTTAACATCCTGTACATATTTACATTCATTCAATCAATTATCTACAGTCATCAATTAAAAAGAGATCAGTTATAATTGCATAAAATTGAATTTGTAACTTTGCGATAAAACAATTTGAACGAATACGAGGCTCGTCAGCACAAAGACCATATACTCTATTGCAAGTAGAATAAAGTTAACTATTTCATGAAAATCTTATCGTAATTGTTGATCATGATTTCGAGCAGTAGTATGTCGCTCCTCACGTCCCAAATGATGTTAGGCGGGTGGTGGATCAGAGTGGGCGCGAAAACCGTCGCAAGGTTGGAGGAATTCATTTTGTTTATAGGTGCATGCAGAGCGACCCTAAAAATTGTTAAATCTAAGCTTAGAGAAGCCGACGTTGGACGACAGGTGAAACTTACCTGTAGAGGTGCTCTATCATGAATTTTAGAGTGTCGTAGTGCGGTTTAGGAAGCGAGAGAAGGGCGTGTTTGATGGACGACAGTTGTAGGTCTTTTTTATCGTGTTCTGTAAAGTATGTTACCATATTTTGTACCCAAGTTTTGTTTGTGTTTTGTACCCAAGTGTGTTTCACTCTTCACGGAGCCACCCTTATATCTAACGCATTTTAGCAGAAAATAATTACCTTTAAAGCAATTATTCTGATAGTTGTTTAGTTTTAAAATTAAAAACAGGTTGGACTATTTTTTATTTATTAGAGACTTTTTATCTAAAAACTAATACTATATTCTAATTTAGGTTCCACAAAAACATCTTTTTACCAACTTTAAATTAAATATCTTTAAAAGTGTGTAATATACGGGTGGACATGTTTACTTTATTTTATTAAACTAATTCAAATAAATTCAAAAAATTTATTTCCAAAAACTCAAATACAATGTTTTTCAATACCAAAAACTGTAGCAGATCTTTTTTTTTATGTCATCAAAGGTAAAAGCAAGAATATAAGATGTTTCTTTTAAGAAAGAATAATAACCAAAAATGTAAGTATATAAAAGTTATTCATAGACAAGGTTCTCGACTGCTTTTTGAATTAATAATATTTTCTATCACACACGCTCGCTATGGGACCTATAGCGTAGGGGGTTATGTACACGGAAAGTGCCAGATAGTACAACCGCGTGATGTTATTTTCATAACGCAACACAGAGATTATTTTGAATGAGAATTTCCCGAGAAAGTGGATAGGTTGCAACAGTCAATTAGTTGAGTGGCCGTCAAGAGCTCCAGACTTGACTCCACTTGATAATTTCTTTATGGGGCACTTTGAAAAATAAAGTGTATTAAACGAGACCCCAGAAGAATTATGTAATAGAATTAGACAATCATGTAGACAAATAACACCACATCAGTTGAGCAGAGTTATTAGAAATAAGAGGAGACGAATTGAACAGTGGACTAATAGAAAACAGTAATATTTAAATTTTATTTTGTTGTGAAAGTCATTTCTGGTATAATAAAAAAATATATATAATTTGGCTGTCTTATTGTGAGCACCCTGTATGAGTGAAATCAATAAAATTGCATGGAAAAATTAAAATTAAGAAAAAATATCTTAATATAGTAACCCGTTTCAAAAATTAAAAAAAATTCCAAGCAATTTACTTATTCGAATAAGAAGAAGAAGAGGAGATCTGGAGAAAAGTGTTCAGTGTTCTTCGTTCTTACTTCTTATCTTAATCTTAGGCTTCTGGTTAGTTAGAAAAAAGAAGGAGTTATGTATGTCTTTATGGAAAAATAAAGTTTTAGAGGAAAGTATAGTGTGCCTTCCTGAAACAGCCACCCAGATAGAGCTCCCTACATTAAAAATATTTTCTGCTGTTACTACAGGACACTGCAAACAGTGAAATTTTTCGAAGTTTGCACCTATTTTGTGAACACCCTGTAAAAGCTATATTAATGAAACTTTGTATTTAGGGTGTTTTGAGGTGTGATCAAATCGAAATTGCTATCCATTTCTTTTTTAAAAAAATGCCTAATATGTTTTTTTATTTTTTGAGGGTCTTTTCTTAATGATAGTTGGCCGTAGAAAAGATCGCATGTCAAAAAATATAATATCCAAAAGTAGGCCTTTTGAGTACTACTACATAAAAATAAGAATTTTGGAAATCGGCCAATGCCATCCTAAATATGGAGGTGTTCCAACTTTAAGTGAAACACACTATATAATACTTATTAAAAAAATAGTAAATAAACAATTTCACCTCTAAAACTTTAACATAAGTTGCACAACAATATTATGATTCCATTTTTCAAAAAATTGAAATTGTCAAATTTTGTGGGGTACGTCGTATTAGAACGAGAGTAATGATTTTCTAAATCCTCTCTTTATGAAGCCTATCCTTTCTTAAGAGCACTGCAGAAATAAATTATTATCAATTCTTAATTATTTAACATGCAATTCTATTTCTTCTTTTTTTGTATATTACTTGATGTGAATTTTTTCAATAAATGTGAAAATATTAGGAGCAGCAGCTTCTTACACTAATCTTTTTTTGGATGTTGGATAAAAAAAATTACAATGAGGCTTCTGGGGATGCTAAATTATTAACTTCTAGATAAAAAAATTGTTAATAATAAGTGTTTTAAAAGTATGTTTCTTTATAATTTTGAAACCGGATACCTATGATTAAAATCAAATTTGGTAATAATCATCGTTTGGCAATTAATTCTTTCACACTAAAATGTGAAAAAACGGTATAAATGCGAGACACGGGTAGCTCCATGAAACGTGAAACACTGTGTACTTTGATCTAGTCAGACAACCAGTCAAACTTCGAAAGGAAAATACTAGATGGCGCCTCTCCCATAAATTCCCTGTTATTATACGTATTATGAACAAGCGTGAAAGATTTGTAGATTTTATAATTCTCGCTAGCTAGCATTTCCATTCTTAAATTTTCTGGTTGTCCAGCTGTTTATATAAATTAAAAAAAAATCATCTATGTATAAAACGAAAAATACTTGCACATAAACAAATTAGTTCTTCTTCGAGTTATACGTTGAACAATTTAATCTCGTTAATCCGATCAGTAAAATAACTGACTATCGCTCGAAACCAGATTAGGAAAGTGTTCAAAAAAAGATTGTTATTAAAATTTTAATTGTTTTGAGTGTTCCTTGAAATTCAGGAACAGCTGTTTTATGATAGGTACACATGATATCAGATTGTAGTTTCCCAAAACCCTTACTTACTTCTACAAAAAAATTTTTTATCATTACATTCTATGTCAACTAATTCATTAACCCGAACAAGTCACATCTAAATTCGTTTCCCTTTCCATGACCCTGCTTTACTTGAAGAGTATAATAGGTTTGTCAAAAAAAGAACGTTGAAAATTCAAAATAAAAAAAATGCATTTTCATTTGATCTCTGTAAAATGGTAATAAATTTATTTTTTACTCACGTATTGCATCGATCAGTAAAGGATGGACTTCGAACGTTATTAGAGGGACGGGAAGGATCCTCAGGTAGAGCTTGAGGGCGCCTGTTATCACATTTATATTCGGGTACTTGTCTACACTCAAATCGGCCTTTTCTCCATCTGGAATACAAATGACATCGTATTACTACGTAAAGGCAGAAAACGTTGATGCTGTGCATGAACTGATATTGTAAGATCCTCATGTGAGTTATCGTGAGATCGAAACATTTGGCTGCCAAAAAAATTTGTTCGCGTTGGATCCCATGTAATTTGGCAAACGCTCAAAAAAAGGCTCGTGTCGATTGTTCAAAATAAATGCTCAAGAAATGCGATCGCGGTGCTGCAAAGCACGTCTATGACATTGCAACAGGTGACGAATCACGGATCTATGCATATAAGCCCAAAAGTAAACAGCAGTCGACTGTATGGCTCTTTCAAGATGAGCCAAATCCAACAAAAGTCGTTCACGCAAGAAGCATTTTTAAGCAAATGGTCACCTGTTTTTTCAAAAAAACCAGATATGTGATAACTGTACCATTAGTTGGATGGTCAATTTTAAATGGTACCCAACCATTTGTGGAAAAATAAGTGAAATCAACCTCTGAAGATGTAGCATTCTTCACCAGGACAATGCGAGCTCACACACTGCTCAAACAAGACATTTTGAGAACTGAAAAAATCAAATTGATGAGTCATCCGCCATACGGCCCTGATTTGACACCCAATGACTTTCTTTTATTCCCACACATCAAAAATAAATTACGAGATCAACATTATTCCATGCCTAAAGAAGCAGTTGGCACGTTCAAAATTTATCTTTTATAACAAATTTATAACTTTAGGATGATTGAGTTTAACGATAGGTACAAGAAAAATTTGATGTATTTTTCTTGAAATTTACTATTTAATAAACACTGAAATGTAAAACAGATATTTCAACATAATGTATACTTTTATATTTACATATTATACAAAAAATTTACTCACCTTTGTCTAAAGCCATCTTGATGGCATCTATCTCCTCAGCAAAACCACTCAATCGGTAGATTCCTTCTGTCGTAAGGCCCCTCGCCTCAACTTCGGCAACACATTTTGTCACCACAAAGGGCAGTTCTGCTTTGTAGGCGCTCAAGAGCGTGGTCAGTTCGATTCCAAATACGCCTCGGAGGTATTTTAAGTCCGGCACGCAGTCGTTGGCGAACTTTTCCGAACATTTCACTGAAATATGAAGATCGGACGTTCAAAAATGAAAATTCATAACTAAACTACCGTCAAAAGTTTCAAAGTAATTAGTTTTGATAGCGAGTATAATTTTTCGTGAATATTGCCTGCCATTTTTGGTGATTTCCTTTTTTAAATCAGGCAAAAATAGATCAGAAAAATGTTTGAGTTTTTAGCAAAAAAAAAGATGAGGATGATTCTTTTTCTGATTTTTCTGTAATTACAGCAGGGCCTCGATAATCCGAACACCGAAAATTTATACCCTGTTCGGATTCACGAAGCGTTCGGATTATAGTATGTAGACATTTTGAAAGGGATTTTTCCAAATAAAACAAAAATATTTTACATTATAATGTATTTAAGTATGTACGTTAGATGTATGTTAGATAAAATGCTATTAATCACACTTTTTTAAAGAATTCCAATATAGTGCTTTGACGAGGAGTATTTAGCGACATAGAAAATGCTTTATCCCTTAATTTACGTAACAGTATTTTTTCCGGAATAGAAATGTCGACTTCATCTGCCCATTCTCAACAAAAAAACGCACTACGTGGCACTGGCGAGACAGAAACTGTGAGAAATGGCGGTTGCGCAGGGGTAAGGGGGGGTCATTCGGATTATAGAGGCGTTCGGACTAGCTGGGGTACGGATTATCAAGGCCCTGCTGTAATGTTAAAAATAGATAGCAGGCCAACTAATAGAGCAAAAAAAGAGGCTGTTTTTATGCTTAAATTTTACAGCAAATTTCATGTATGCCCTTTTGAAAAATACTTAGTAAATGAAAACCCAAGTGATTTCCCCAGCAAAGTCGTGAACAATTTTTTTTAAAAAAAAAAAAATGCAAAAAAAAGAAAAATTTTTTGGTTTTTTTTTATAATATCTCGAAAAATAGTGATGGAATCGTCTTACTTTCAATAGGAGTTTTGTAGAGAATGAAAAAACCTATAAAATGGTTTTTGTGCGACCCAATCGGTTCATTTTTGATTGTTTCGGGCAACTTTCAAGGGCATTTTTAACATATTTCCCATCACCCAGGCGGAAATCTGAGATATACAAATTGGGGATTTGCCGTTTTCAGAATTTAAAACTGACCATTTTTGATATGTTGTGCAAAAAAAACACCCTAGTTTGTTTATAATGCAATTGTGCAAAAACTATGCATCAGACAGAAACCATCTTACGCACGATTAAACTACATATTATTATCTGTCATTTTCCGCAAGATTGTTTTTCCAGCTTCAAATTTGACGGTTATGAATTTTTAAAAAAAGATCTATTTTTGAAGAGGTTTTTCCGGATTTCATCTGTAAAAAATGAACCAATCGGGTCGCTCAAAAAACCATTTTATAGGTTTTTTATTCTCTACAAAAGTTCTATTGACAGTAAGATGATACCATCATTATTTTTCGAGATAGATATTATAAAAAAAACAAAAAAATTTCATTTTTTGCAGTTTTTATTGTTAAAAGAAAATTGTTCATGACTGCTGGGGAAATCAATTCGGTTTTCATTTACTAAGTATTTTTCAAAAGGTAATACATGAAATTTGCTGTAATATTTTAGTGTGCCAAAAAAATCTCTATTGATTGGCCTATAGTGTTGTGGAACATGTACAAGAATTTATTATTGACATTTTCCATCAAACATAAAGGAGAATAAACAAGAATAGATAAGCATAAAAGAGAAGAATCTGAAAATTAATAATATATAAAGTAGAAACAACTACTTTTCTTTGGAGAGGATTGATTTTCCAGTGATATAAACCCCTTAACATACTTTTTCCCCATAATATTGCATGGATTACCAAGCAGACTACCAAAGTAAATCTTATTGAACACATGGAATTATATTTTTACTTCAGAACAGTTCAATCAAGAAAAATACATACTGCAGAAATGCCAGTCAAAAGTCAAATATAATTTGATGTACCAGATGTCAAATGAATGATCCCGTTGACTACCAGGTTATATTAGCCACTCTAAATTAGTTATTTTCATACTACTAACTTTAATCTGATAGTAAATTTTAAATAAGGAAGTAATTTTTTTTTTACAAATACATAGTTAAAATATCAATAATTTTTATCAGAAAGGTGTGGCCATGTTTCAGATTGAGTATAAATTAAAAAAATAGGCAATCAAACGATAATAATACACTCTTTATCTTTTCTTAAACTTATTTGACCCAGTTTGGAAATTATAACACATAGAAGACTATAAAAAGTACCAGGAAAAAGTAGGTCTATTGCCAATATAACTAGTGGAGAATGAATTTAACAATTATGTAAGCCTTAGTCACAGGTTACGGTATTTAATACCACTTAAACTATATAAATTCCATTCAATTAACCAAGTCAGCGACCTGCTTACGTTTTTACATGAAAATATATTTCTCCTTACTACGTTTTATACAAATAAACACTTTAGAACCTCGTTTTCACTCACCTTTCAACAAAAAGTAAAGTATTTTACAGGATATTATTTTTTTTTCAATTGCTACATTCTCTAGGAGAATGTGAGAGAGAATGTCATTATTTCAAAGCAACTTTTATAATTTTTAAAGATATTACTATCATTTTCGATTAGAATAATAGAATTTAAAGAAAACTAACTTTAATAGGGAAATTTAAATATTATTTTGACAAAAATGATCTTATTAAAAGTAATTTAATTTTATTTAATTCGACTTACCGTGTGCTATTACACCGCAGTCCTCACACCTTTTGCCCTGCAGCGTAAAACCCCACAAGAAATTCGCACACAGCTCACACCAGTTCAAACCTTTGAAAGTTGTCAACTTGAAAGAGTGCGCTTTTTCCAACTTATCTGGCACAGTTTGACCCAATATCTGCTGCGCTAACTGTGAATTTTGATTGTACGAATCGTTGAACAAATTCCTGTTCCTAGAAAACGGACAGAAATTACACCTGAGATGAGAAAATTACACCACAACTTTACTTTGCATTTTCTCTGGATAAGGCCCGTAATTTTCTTTTGTTCAAAGTCATGTATGGGCTTTCCTGGTAATTGGCGTTGGACAAACACTGAAGAATGGCTGGAGCCTTGAGATCTATGTACATTGTGACCAATCCATCTGCTACGAGTGATCGAACACAATCGTATCTTTTCTCCCGGACATACAGACCCGATTTGGGGTCGTAGAAGAGTTTGTAATGATGGATTTTGTCATTGAACCTATTCAGTAAAAAATATTTATTTAATTTCATTTTACTGTAGTAAACGTAGGACGTGTGTCTAGCAAATAAAATATTAGTGCAAAATTACAATTTTATATAAAGATTCTAATAATATCTACAATCAAATTTCAAGGAAAATTAAACAAGCTGAAGTGATAATCTTTGATGTTTTATCAGTGCATTAAGTATAATTCTGATTTAATACTGATTACGTTTTAAATAAACATACACTAGGGAACGTGTAACTTACAGGTTATTCCCGCTTTATCAGTAATAAAGATAAATAAATAATAATTCTTTTCGGTGCATTCTTAATTGAAGATTTAAAAGAAAATGTATGATGTACTGGTTATTCCAAGATTCCTAATATAGTGTTTTAATTCAATCGCTTAAAAATTAATATTCATCATTTCAATTAATTTACATAGAAAAATTGTTTAATAATAACCCTACAATTCTATCTCTATAGTAGTGGTGAAAGAATACAATAAAAATAAGGAAAATGTAATGGTAGAAGGGAATATTGTATAGTGCAGTCCCAATACCGTAAAAAAAATTAAATGAAAACTTTTATATATAAAAAAATTGATATCCATAAATAATAAACAAATATCTTACTTCAAACTTAAAGTATGGAATTGTCCATTTGCGGATTTACTGCTCCTAACAAGATAGGCCCCATTTGGTTGACCGCTCAACAAGTTCGAAGCGTCAACGTGAGAAATTGCTCCATGGTAATCTCTGCCTAGATAACTAGGTAAATCAGATGGCACCTCGTCACATATTATTGGTACCGGCACAGGAGCCTCCAATTGCATACGATACACTAAAAACACACAAACCGTTACACAGATTAACGGAAGTCGAAATGCACCTACAAATTAAGATGTCAGTGGTCAGAGGGTAGAGTAAATTCCAGTCCCTCTCCATGATGTCTGGTTTGAAAATACGAGATATTCGTAGTACAACCATTTTAAAGTGTGAAATCTCTAATTAAATTGGAAACAAGAAAATAGGTTATGTTGCTTACAATCACTTTTCCATACTGTGTGCACTAGGGAATCCGACTCTAGACCCATCGTAACTGCAGGTTTATCTTATCATAAACAGGATAATCAGCTCACATCATTTTTTTTTTAAAAAAAGCTTCTCGGTTGACAACACGACACAACACACAACACAACAAAGGATCAGCAGTGGCAATGCAAATGACATTTGACATTTGAAATTTCTCTACTGTAAGAGGGAAGTACTTTCCTTAAAATTATTTTTCTAACTCGAATCTTAAATGAAGCTGGTACATTAACTTACTGAACTAAAATACACTAATATACATAATTTTCTCCTGTGATTGTCGAATCAAAATCATAGCAAAAGCAAACCAATTATGGATTTGTTGAATTTGAATTTTGCTAATAGGTGGTGCCATCTGTTCACCAAAAGGCATGTTACATATTTTTACACACTGTGACATCGTGACATCTACCGTTGATCGAAATATTCTCTCATTTCAGTCGACGACATCTATTTAATATTCGTGGAATCAAACACACGTTTGTATAAGTTACTATAAGATGACGCCAGTGCACATAAGTATGTTCCATAATTTAAATGAAAATTAAAAAATATCATAGTCACAGTAAAATAATTAAAATAAATTCCATAATTAAGTATATTAGTCTGTATTATTAAATCTAATTATTAATTCTTTTTTTTTCATAGTCACATGACTGCATTTGACGCAGGCGCTCTAACAATTTGTCAGACACCTAGATGAGGGTGGGGATAAATATGTCAATGGAAAATGTTTATGTCAAAGTGGTAAATGAAAGCCGATTTTTCCCGTTAAAATCCGCCCCGGAATTATTGGCCGACTGAAAACATGTGGTAGTGTAGTGTTTTTGTAGTGTAAGTGATAATAAAAATCCCTCAATTAAATTAATTTTACTACAGTGCAAAATGGCTTCTGGAGATGTAATAGAGACTATAGAACTTGATTCAAATTTGGCATTGAATATGAATAATTCCAAGGAGATTTCGGGGTACCATGAAACGGGAGAGGGTGGAGAAACTGATGGTAAATATTGATTATATAAATTGTTGGAATAGGCCCAGAAAGATTAATTTCCAACCAATACATGATTTAAATTTTTCGGGTCACTATTAAAAATGAAAGTATTGAATGTGTTTCAACCACTTGTTCAGAAATTTCACATATTTTAAAATTTCATAAAAAACCACAGTGCAATCAAATGTATAAGAATGATAAATTACTCATAATTTTTTAAATCAAATGCAAGAATGCGAATATCTTGTTCACAAGATAATTTTATGACTCACTATCTATACATTGTATCTTCATTATAAACTTTTCTTTTTTCAGACAAGGACGACAATAAGGACACGTTAAATAAAAGCAATGTCCAGGATGTAAGTACCACTATACATAGAAAACGATAAATATATTAGATCGTTGGCCTTGTACGATGTTTCAAACAAAAACTGCAAACATTTCATCAAATTAGTGTACAGAGTCCGGGTAGTTGTAATTAATTATATTAAATTTTGTTGGGAATGTCTTTTTAAGAAATATTTGTAGAAATGTTTGCAAGTTATTTAAATATTACTGTCTAAAAATACACTTAATTTTATTAAATATTTCATTTATATGGTACCGCATAAGAAAACGTACTTTATTCTTTTTGTATTTATCTTTATAACGCAGGTAAATTGAAATAGGTATGAAAAGGAACCTTTTATTGTGCATTTAAATGTAACTATACAACTGAAAAGTTAAAAAGTTTGTAGGATGTACTCTTAAATACTTGTCACAGTATTTTCATTTAAAATACTGTAGCTCATAAAATAACAATGGACAATGGACTAACATTGATAGAAACTATTTGTTTTACATTTAAACAAAAATCTCCCCACAAGGGATGATACATGTTTTTTGAAGTACCCTGTATAATCATTGGCATTGTTTTATATTATCTACACAAAACATAAATCAAAGGAAGTGACCGTATAAAATCAGTTTGGGTAAATACCAAGGACATATAAATATCTAACCACATTTCAACAATAAACAATATATAATTGTTTTAACTATTTTAAAACATCACATTACCATGTACCGCATTAAATAATATTCAATTAGACAAAATTAATATTAAGAAAATATGTTATATATTCCATTGTTTAAATCTTTAGTATTCCTCTATCTAGAAATACATTTGAGATCTTGAGTGGGTCAATAAATTAAATATTAATCAATAAGTATAGCTCTGCACTTAAAGCATCAATAAGGTATGTTTCATATACATGTAGATAACAAATGATTGTGATCTTAATACCACTTATTTTGGAATTTCGGTGATGTAAAAAATGTAAATTGAAAAACATGTTATTTTATGGAAGATTTTATATCTTTCGATAGCATACCTACGTTATTATCTTATTAGGGATTTGACGCAATTCAGTTATAATTGTTGGGTGTACAAGGTGTATTTAAATGAACAAAAACAAAGGGTTCCTCGATCAACTTGGGCCAAAAATATGATAATTGGGCCAAATATACCTTAGTTACAGCATATTTAACTTTTCAGAAAAAAACATTACAAATACACAAATATCTCGAAAAGGTAGATTAAAGAATCTTGAGGTACCAAACTAAATAAAGGTAAAAATTTGCGTACAATTATATCAGCCAGTGGCTCCACATACTGGGAGCGAGGTGAAAATCACTGACCAAAATTTGTACAAAATTCTCGTTTTCTTATAATAGATAGCAGGGTGGCCGCTTTAGATGTATATGTGCATTGTAACGTGTGACATAAAATAATAATAATAATAATAATTGAAATATTACCGCAGATTATTCAAATGTTCAAACTTGTTTATCAAGTTATTCCTGTGGTTTCCCCTCGTCTGGCAGACACACCACCATTAAAAATGTCAGAATTCAGTTTGTTACATGCAGTTTTTTGTAAATCCAATAAGTCCGTTTAATTCGTAATGGTATTTCAAAGAAAAAGTTCTCTTTAATTTAATTAAAAATAAATAATTTACCTAAAAATAAATAATTTTCAAGTTATTATTTGTTCAGTCCAAACAGCAGTTCAATAAATTAAAAATATTTCTAAAACTGTTCATTTTACAAAGAAGAAGAATTCTTTGTTGCAAATACAATGTAATCATTAATGTCCAGCAAATTAAGTAACTTTGAAATTTACCCTTTACGACTCTTTAGAAAAATTAAATTCAGTGTTTTTTGTTCTTGCTGTTACATTATATTTAAAATTATTGTATTTGTAACAAAAAATTCATATAAATGTTTTTTTGCCTAACGAACAGTTTAGTTATTTTTTTTTATTCAACAGTGTAGTAAGCTTATTTTATACTTAAAAAGTAATAAATCGAAATTTACTTGTTTAAACATTTTAAACAACCATTTTATGGCTTACATTCCCCAACTAGCATTGAATTATACCAGCAATACCCAGTAAACAGCTAGTAGTTAGTAATTATGTAAAATAAAAATTAAAAGTGATATACTTATCTAAATATTATTGATACAAAAGCACCTGATATATTGAAATTATTAATAATGTAATTTTTCAAATAAATTTTTTGTATTCTTGTTCTAATATCACCCTTGACAAAGACCAACTCTAATAGCTGTTTTACATTGACAATTTATTGCTCAATTAATTCATGAAGTCGCTTCATCAAGAAATTCTGTCAAATAACTTCATGAATTTATTCATCAAGTTCTTGACGAATTAGAGCATGTTCTAATTTTCGTCAATTTCTTTGTGAAATTCGGAAGTACCAACCCAACAGATTTCCAGCCTCAGATCAGTAATGAGGTTATGTTATTGGAATATGTAAATAATTGTGTGGCGTCGTGCTAGTTTTGCATTGTTTTCACTGATTTGTTACTTACAAATACTAATATTTATATAACATGTGTCAGAACGGTACCGCTGTTGTATCACTACAATTATGAGTGGAAAGGTGACATTTTTGAAATTTATTTGCTTCTTTGATTCATTGGTGGAACTGATTCATACGTCAAGAAACTTGACAAAGTCTGTAGCAGTGTAAAACCACACTGTTTACCAATAAATTCGTGAATTAATTCATGAAGAACTTCGTCAATTTATTGATGAATAAATTGTCAATGTAAAACAGCTATTAAAAATAGCTACAATAGAAAAATCTTACTATTTCTACTTTTTACTTGCAAATGAAATTAATAAATATTAATAGAATAAAATTATATAAAAATAAAACTTACAAAAAATTTTAAAAATGTGGAACTATTTTTTACCTAAAAAAATATTTGCCCTTATTTTTATTACTTTGTAGATATTTTGCGTATTGCGTATCTGCATTTTTGGAATCAAAAGAAAATTGTTGACTTCATTTAGTTTTAAAATAAAGTAAACATACAGAATCTAATAACAAAAACATATTTTTTAAAAATATATTTCTAGCTCAAGATTATCAAAGTACTATTTGCGCTTCTTCATTTAGATACAACCTGTAGAGATAAATAAAAGACATCGTGTTCATTATGTCATTATGAAAGAATATACATAGTAGTAATTATAATATAAGTACAAGTCATATAAAAATATGTAAGTAAATGCAATAAAAAATATAAATAACGTAAACATTGCAAATGACATCACCAAGCATTTCATTTATGAATATTACACTGAAAGGGACAAAATACATCAACATTTTTAAAATACCTACTATTTATTTTCAATGTAGACATAGGAATGTTTCGATTGGTTAATATATCTAAAATTTTCTCTAAGTTGCCTAACGAAGCTTGCTTATACAGGGTGTCCCAGAATATATGGGCAATCTCAGATTTATACGGTTGACGTTAAAATAACAGGACAAGTCCCTATAAAAATTTCCCTAGAGGGCTTCCCTGCGGCCCCTGAAAATTGATTTTTTTTTTTTAATAACTTTTAAAATACTTCGTGCAATTTTATTACTTTTAGGAAAAAAACAAATGTAAATAAAACTGGCAATTTTTTACATAGGTACAGAACGAATGCAAATTTAATCGGTTTATTTCTATTTACAGATGTAATAAAAATCATATTAAACAAAAATAGTTTTTTCTCGAAAACAGTTCATTTTATCAATACCAACCAAGAGTCCCTTTTTTAGTTTAAGGTTCAAACTATCTATAAATATTATTTTTGTGCCTTTGTTGTAAAGGGTGTAAAAAATTTTTATATTATGCTACAGCTAGACCGTCCCTGGGCAAACCAAATAAGCCAAATTATTTTCATGGGTCAATTTTTAGAGAGCCTCATCTGTTGTCCATAATATTGAAAAGTAATTAAATTACACAAATATTTTAAAAGTTGTTAAAAAAAAATCCATTTTCAGGGGCATCCATTTTGGGGGCCTGAATCTCCGTAGGTGTGCCCTCTAGGGAATGTTTTTATAGGGACTTGTCATGTTATTTTAACATGTCCTGTATAAATCCGAGAGATTGCCCACATATTTTGGGACACCCTATACAGGGTGATTTCATTTTAAATACAGAAACTGGTGAACTAGATTCATTACCAGAAAATAAGTAGAGTTTGCTCTATAAACTTTTTTCCTGCGGGACTCAGTTTTCAACATACAGAGTGTTAAAGTTTACAAAAAAATATATATTTTCTGCTATATCTTCTTAATGCGCTGACGGAATTAAGTAAAATTTACTACAGCGTATTCACATAATTAGACCTTTTATGAATGTAATATTAACCCTGTGCCTTTAACCAGTGGCGTGGTACTGGAGGTGCCGCCCCATTTTCGTAAGAATAAAATACGCCACTGGCGGTTTTTTGTAGAAATAATGTTACATTCAGCTTACTTGGTGTTTTTTAATAGTAGCAGCAGTTTAGGAGATATTTGGGCTTGTTTTTACGTTTTATTGAATTTTCCTTATAAATTAATTCATAACCAGTGACGTGCTACTAAAGCGTCCGGCAACTTATTCCAAGAAAAGAATACGCCACTGGTGGTGTTTTGTAGAAATAATTTTATTTCTGGAAAAAATATCAAATCTAAATAAAAAATAACATTGGCAAATAGGTCGAGTAAGTAATTAAGTAACGAGTCCTACAACAATAAATTATTGTCCAAAATGAAGTCCTTTCGCATCGATACATTTCTGATATCTAATCTATTTATAGAGGAACTTATCATGAAGAGATTACAATTTTCCTCTATTCTTTGGCTTCAAAAATAAATAAACAAATAAGTAAATTATCTGCTAAACGGCTGATAGTATTAAAAAATACCAAGAATCACTTTTCATTCATTTAACGTAACAGTACCTGAATTGAACATTATTTCTACAAAAAGCCCCCAGTGGCGTATTTTTTCTTGGGAATACCAAGCGGCACCTTCAATAGCACGCCACTGGTTTATGTCATGAGGTTAATATTACATTCAATAAAAGGTCTAATTACGTGAATACGCTGCAATAAATTTCATTTAAATTGTTCAGCGTAATATGACCGACAATTTTTTTTTGGAAAGGACCTCGCACTTTTCTTATGGGAAGTGGGTTTCGGCCAATTTATTTGAAACTTCGCAGGTTGATAGTTCTTAACATGTAGATCAAAAGTCTCAATGGTCACAAAGCCCCAAATCCACCCCTCCCCCCCCCAAAAAACTGCCTCCAAGTAGCGGGGAGTTTCTTGTCGTTTTATGAAAAAAAGTTTCAAATAAAAGTTGTTTATTTCAATGAAGTCTAAAAAAAAACTATTCTTGTGTTTTTTTTCGAAAAATCAATGTTTTAGCTTTAAAACGCCACCAAAGTTTAACACAGAGTATACGTATGATAGATGTAGATATTCACGTGTGTTAAGTTTAACAGCTTGAATATTACTATTTTGAAAAAATCACATTAAAACTTTTTTTTAGATTTAGTCAAAATAAATAACTTTTACTTGAAATATTTTTTCATAAAATCACAAATAAACTTTCTACAGCTATATAAACAATTAAATTGTTAATAACAATGTTCCTGAGCCGATTTCGTAAAATTGAGTTGCAGATTCGAATTCATTGTGAAAAAATACGTGCTAAAAATTTACGTGCAAATATACGTGCAAAAAATACGTGCAACTATAAAATACAGTAATCTGGAAAATCCGTAGGCTGATTCGTAGGGGGCGGGGGGTGTGTGAGGGGCGGGGTCAAGTGGGGCAGTTTGTTAATAAAAAATGTGGTTGTTTGGGGTCATTGTTGGGTTGATTAAAAAAATAAATTGTTTTACATGCAGAAATCAGTTAAATCGCCCCCGCTACTTGGCGGCAGTTTTTGGGGGGAAGGGGTGGATTTGGGGCATTGTGCCCATTGAGACTTTTTATCTACATGTTAAGAACTATGAACCTGCGAAGTTTCAAAAAAATTGGCCGAAACCCACTTCCCATAAGAAAAGTGCGAGGTCCTTTGAACACCCTGTATCTCGAATACCCCCCCCCCCCTCCAAGCAAAAGCTTTCTATAGACCAAACTCTACCTATTTTTTGGCAACTAATCTATTCCTGCAGTTTCTATATTTGAAGTGAAATCACCCTGTATAGCATTTATAGTCCAAGCATTCTGTCACGAATTAATGTTAAATTTGCAGAAATTATTACCTGGACAAAAAAATATGACCGTATAGAAAATTAAATTTTAAATTGAGTTTCTTGTTCTTTAAACTCGATCCAATATGGCGAACATGGTTAAAAAAATCGCAAAGTTGAAAAAAAACGGTTTTTCTAAAATAACTAAAAAAATACAGCACTGATTGAAAAATTTTAAATGAGAAAGTTGTAGGTTTCAAACAGATCTATCGACTGATTTTTTGAAAGTATCGATTGCTTTGTTACTTTTCGAGATATATCGAAAAAACCGTTAAAAATCTTCTCTTTTCTCTTCTTCTATAACTCGTTTACATTTACATGCCCATATTTGCTATTTACTGCAAGCATAGCCCGCGGCAAGCCAAAAAAGTACATTTTTGAAAAATTTAAAAATATTAATTATTTTTCGAGATATATGGATTTTTTGAAAAAAAGGCGCTCTCGAAAATTGGCTAGATCTTCTCAGCGGATAGCCCTACAGTAACGATTTTCGGTTTATTTTCTTCGTAAAGAGTTATATTATCATGCTGATAAAAAATGTTGACGATTTTATTAATTTTAAGGAGCAAAAAATGACTGAAAAAGTTGCACTTTTTTTGGGTATGTTTTTTTCAAATAACTTTCAATTTTTATTATTTTTTTGTACTTAATCTGGGGTAGCTAAACACGAATATTATAGCATTTTTGCCTTAGAAGCAAAACAGACCCGTAAATGTTTAGTTTTCTTTCTTTAAAAGTCATTTTCATAAAATAAAAATTGAAATAGTAATTTGAAAAAAACATACCCAAAAAAGTGCAACTTATTCAAAGTCATTTTTTGATCCTTAAAATTAATAAAATCGTCAACATTTTTTAACAGCATGATAATATAACTCTTTACGAAGAAAATAAACCGAAAATCGTTACTGTAGGGCTATCCGCTGAGAAGATCTAGCCAATTTTCGAGAGCGCCTTTTTTTCAAAAAATCGATATATCTCGAAAAATAATTAATATTTTTAAATTTTTCAAAAATGTACTTTTTTGGCTTGCCGCGGGCTATGCTTGCAGTAAATAGCAAATATGGGCACGTAAATGTAAACGAGTTATAGAAGAAGAGAAAAGAGAAGATTTTTAACGGTTTTTTCGATATATCTCGAAAAGTAACAAAGCAATCGATACTTTCAAAAAATCAGTCGATAGATCTTTTTAAAACCTACAACTTTCTCATTTAAAATTTTTCAATCCGTGCTATATTTTTTTAGTTATTTTAGAAAAACCGTTTTTTTCAACTTTGCGATTTTTTTTAACCATGTTCGCCATATTGGATCGAGTTTAAAGAACAAGAAACTCAATTTAAAATTTAATTTTCTATACGGTCATATTTTTTTTGTCCAGGTAATAATTTCTGTAAGCATTTCTCTATAATGCTTGGACTATTATTTAGAACGGGCATAGACACAACCTGAAGAAAGTTTAAACGGGATTGTTGTAACTGAAGAAATGTGGAAAAACTGGTGTAAAAAAACCGTTTTACGCAGTATCTTGGGGGGGAGTCTGGCCCCGCGATCCTCCCCTCCTTTGTACATAATATTGATATTGTTGTTTGAAAAATAATAATATATCTTGTCTAATAGATTTATAAATAATTCTTTTATCTCTAATTGCTATAAAAATAACAAACAGTAGATAAGCTCACGTCTGCCGAGTGCGAAATGAAGCGAATCCATCTAAATAGTTAATGACGATCATCCAGAAAAACCACAGGGAGACGTACCCACCATAAAACAGACACACCTACCACTTTTGATAACGCAGAACAAAAGTTTGTGATGCTAACACAAGTCAACCATGAAGACCATAGTTTGCGGCGGTTGTGAGAATGTTATAAGGCCTCGGAGGCTGAGGCTTTTCTGTAACGGGTTGTGCGGCCGATTCTTCCACATACCCTGCACCGACGTGCCCCTGGAGCTTTACCATTCCGTCTGCAAGTACCCCTCGTTCGCGTGGAGATGCAACGATTGCAGAGCGAAGCTTCAGTTCTGGAACCCGCGCTACCTCAACGACTATTTCGTGGAGAAGATCAAGAACGTCGTGGGGGAGATGGAGGAGAGATTCAGACGTTTCAAGGAGGAGCTGATATATAACTCCGTAGGAAAGTACAAGGAGGTGATGAGTAGGAAATTAGCGTACGAAGCCATGGAGAAGATGAAGGAGACTCGGCTGAGGCAGCAGGAAAATTCGACAGAAGTGAGCTTGTTAACTTGTTCTTTTTTGAACGTGTGATATATTTTGCGAAGTTTTAGGTTGGCTTTTGCTTCAAACAAGAACACCTGAATAACTATATCGGGTGATATAGGCAGTCCATTACAGTAAGATCATTTTTGTTGTTCTAGTTAATGTACTACGTCGATTGCCCACAAAATTTTGTCTTAGTAACGTTACTGTTTCTTCATTGACTATTTGACACCACTTTGAATTGCGCTAATCAGTGACCTAGCCGTAGAATCATGCAATAGTGTTTAATTTCGTAATGACGTAAGAATAAAAGCCTACTAGAAATGGATCATACAGATTATAATTGTATGTATTTAACTTTTGAAATAGTACGTCTTATAAGAACTCCTAACCATAGATATCTGTATTTTCCTCTTGCTGATATTTCGAACATCACCCGATCTCATCTCTGCAATAAAGTACCACTTGAATTACTGATTGCTTGATATTTTTTTGCGAAAAATACATACCATCAATAATTTAAGAAGATTGCCGGCAGTTTACAATGGGAATATAAATGATAATATTTATCAGTTATCATAATCAGTATGGCTTGCGGAAAAAAAAACATTATTTGTGGCTTTACATTTGTGACGTAACACTTGAGTCATTGTCAGTGGCGTAAATAGAAAAGTGGATGGGGCCTTATTTGACAAAATATGTTAGTAGGCAAAATTAACTATTAAATTTCAGATTCTACCGACTCCTTTGTGTACGTCACTGGCTACACAATAAAGTCTGGTTTAAACAAGAGTAATGTAACGCAAATATAACTTGCAATATAATCGTAATGTAATTTTGTAAGTGTTGGAAAAAACTGGGTTTTCTTGGACACTGCCTTGTAGTACAACAAGACACTCTCACTGTCCCGCAAATGAAAACGTATTTCTGCACTTCCTTTTCTACAAAAATGACATCAATAAATGAAATTAATCCTTTACATTTTCGCATTTTTTGTAATAATAACTAAATCCGTTTTATGCATGTTAGGCTTTAGATTAAGTTAGAGATTATAAAAATCTATTTTAATCTCAATGTAATGAAAAATAAAACTTATCAGAAGAAACTTGTATTCCACTTCATTTTGTTTTGTGTATGTTTTGAATTTAATTTTAGGTATTGCATCTATGAAAATTCATCTTCATTTGAAAAAATTTGTTTTAGTTTCGGAAAAATAAAAATGCTTGAAGGACCTGTTACGGGTGACTTTCTAGGTTTATTTTAATACAAATCGATTGTATTTTTTTATGGAAATCAAGTTATTGACCTTTTCATTAAAAAAAAATGCACAAATGTTAGAATTCATCTGCAGTGATACAGATAAATTAAGAAATAAATAAAAATTCTGTAATTATCACCCAACTGCCACATTTACGGTTTTAGGAGACCACATGGAAAATCTGGATGCATACAAATGGGGAAGTCTAAAAGATTCATAGGAAATTTGTGGAAACATGGTTGGTGCTGTTTTATATTAAAATTTCAAATTTTTGTATGATATTGGGTTGTGGAAGTAATTTAGCAATAATCAATAATTTTCAAAACCTAATAAAAAAATAATACGAATTTATGAAATATTTTATTCTCGGTTTTATTATTTCTAATTAGTATTGCTAATAGTAGTATGACTTCGTCCAATAGATATTTTGAAAGCGTTCAGAAGCGTTCCTATATCTATCTCTAATGGTCTTCGAGATATTTCAATTATATCAAAAAAAGTTGGTTTTCGATAGCCTAATTCAAAATTGCCTATTTTGCTATAGGGGGATAGGGCGATGATCATTTATTACAGTTACTTTAAAAACTGTTTAATTTTACACAGGGTGGTGAACATTTATTGTCGAATATGTTTCACTTCGAACCGCTCAAATTTGGTTTTTCTAAATGGAAAATTCAAATCGAAGTAGTCCCTGAAATATTTTAATGGGACCTCACCGTAAGACAGTTGACAATATCGAAGGTACATAATACGACAAGGCAAAAGAGTCGAATAATATCGAAATCTGGACACTATTTATTTTGGCCGATCAACATAAACAGTAACAATTTTTTTCCGTAGCATCGTCAAACAAAAAATTTATTTTCGAGATAAGAATTATTTACAGCTTTCTAGAGAACCCGCTTTTTGTTAGGTTAGGTTACCCAGTTTTGTTATGTACATATTTTCATTATTAAAAAAGTGGTATCTCTAAAAACGCTTTTAAAGTTTTTGTTGTCATTCAGCATAAGAAATTCGTACCATATAATTGACCTATATTGACATTTTCTTCATCCTCTTTCGGCCTTATCTGAGACTCAATCGGGCCTCTATAATAGTTAACTATAGCGCGCGCGGTATCACGAAGGATAAGCAGTAAGCACTCCTACAACAAGTGGGTGCTCTCTGCAAGTGCGAGACAAAACTCGTGTTCTCGATTTTTCTCCCACCTAAAACTTTTTTCCTATACTCTTCACATAATAAAAAACCATTTATCCGAAAATAGATTTTTTCAAAATTCTAGAGTGTATCTAATACCCAAGTAACTTACGACAGCATTCACCGTTTTCCTTAACAATACGGCTATAAGTGAACTTTAGCAGGTTTAATAAAATACCTATGAACATCTGTCGGTAACAACTTTTAATGGAAACTGCGAAATCNTTTATATTAAAATTTCAAATTTTTGTATGATATTGGGTTGTGGAAGTAATTTAGCAAATAATACAGTGAGCTTTTTTAAAATTCCTTCAGATTTTAATGCCTTGGTATGCGAGAGGCGAAAGGTTTGGGTGGACAATTTCAATTTGAAAAGTATTTTCTTGCAGTCCAGAATTAAATTAAGAAAAAAAGAATTATAGAATTTCATGTAAATTTTGTCAAAAATTAAGAATTGCCGTGTCCCTCGAAAGCGATAAAATATACCACTTTATACCGGGTGGGGCATTTATCTTGAAACAAAATATCTCGGTTGGACTCGATTAATTCGAAAAAAATTTCAAGGCACCGAGGGGGCCACTGAAAGGTTCATATTACAACTTTTGGTCTAGACCGGAAGTGTTTTTTAGACCGGATGTTGATTTTTTTAATGGAAACATTCATTTTTTACTACGGATTTCGATTGAAAAACGAAAAAAACAACTATTTGTTCTTATTATTTTTTCGATTTAACCCATATTTTGGCCATAAAATGTCCATAAAAAAAACAAAAAAAAACAAGAATCTTGAGACAACGTAGTAACTTGTTGGGATCACTTTTTAGAAAATGTTTCATACAAAAGTTGAAGAGTTAAAAAGGGGGCTATCGTGACATGACCTTGACAATTACCTTGACTTCAAGGTCGTTTGAAGATCAAATTCAACATTTTTAGTGAAACCCTCTGAGGGTTGCTTTCGCTGAACAGCAAAAATAAAAGGCTCTCTCAACGGTAATAATAAAGTATTTTATTGAAAACTAAGTTCTTCCTGGAAGGTTGGTGCGTCCGGCGGTGTTCTTGACGTAATGCTTAAAATGGGTCACAAATATTTTAATGGGCCCTCACCGTAAGACAATCGACAATCGAAGGTAATAATGACGGCAAGACAAAAGAGTCGAATCATGTCGAAATTTCGACACTGTTTATTTTGGTCGATCGACATAAACAATAACAATATTTTTCCGTAGCATCGTCAAACAAACAAAATATTTTCGAGATAAGGATTATTTACAGCTTTCTAGAGAACTCGCTTTTTGTTAGGTTAGGGTACGAACATAGTGGCGCGACGAGACTTCAGTGTCAGATAGAGTCTAGAGGCAAAACTTGCCGCTATGTGATTTAAATACATTGAATAGCATTGGGCAGTCCATAGTGGCGCGACGAGTCACGCGTGTGTCTCCTCGAGGCATCGAGGAGGCAAATCTGCCTTCCTGTTATTTCACGCTTCTTTACGCGATTTTTAATAAATTTCATTGTATTGGTACAGTTAATATCTTTTATTTAAAAAATATATACCTACTACTTGGAACCGATGTCATCCTAATATTTGTAATGGGTGTATTCTAGATAAGTTATGAGATTAGGTAACTTTTGAATTTCAATGAATAGGTATAAAATTTCATTTGTATTTAAAAGAAATATTTACTTTTTTATTTGTGAGCGGATGTCAATATGTAGAGTTTAGTAAAATAGGGCGATGCAAGTTTTAAATGAACATACTTCGAGGAGCGACATGTCTTTACAAAATAAAAGATAATTTGTTGCGTACGTACCCCGTGTGTAAAGAAATATCAATTTTATTCGTTCTAAACCGATAAAGAAATCCAAATAAAATTCGATGTATTACAAAATTGCTAACCAGTGGAGGACAGACACGGGATATTGTCTACATAACACGATAAAAAAATAGTGCGTCCAAAATTGAAATTGATCACATTTTTGCATGTAGCTTGTAATTTTCAAAAAATAAATTTTCTTAACTTTCTCAATTTTGCGTCAAATATTTATTTTCTTACATTTATTTGTGATTTTGCAAGGAATCAAACACAATGTTAACAAATAATCAGCATAATATACTTCCAAATCTAATCTGTTCATATATTTTATGTATACATTGCGTTCCAATTTGAAACTCGTATTTTAGACTGCATTTACCGATTAATTTTTTTAATATGTAGTACTTGAAGTGAATCTACCTTCACTATGTTTGGAAAACTGCGAAAATTGACAAAATCGAATCAGGTATTTTTTTGTAAGAAAGCGTTTAATAGCTTAATCGATTTCTACGCATCCCAAATCTAAAATTAAAAAATATAAATGCGTTTATCACAACTTCAAATAAATTATAATTTTTTAATTCCCCCTGTGCCCACATAATTATTACTACTGCACCTTATGCTATTTATTTTTACAATAAATTATCCCATGTTCGATGTGATTAAGGATAAATAAGGAATCAAATTTGCAGAACGGAACGACGACGACTTTTCTGCATTAACGATTATTATTATTTTGATTCTTTCTGAAATAAAGAGCACATAATATCAGACTTTCCATTATGTCAAAGCAAACACATTTCAACTAGGTTGCAATAAAGCTAGCTATACAGGACATTAAAAAATTATAATTTATTAGAAATGGTAATTTCTATAACAAACGCCCTGTATATGCTATCGAAGCGATATTTTCGACTTGACATTTAAGATGCATAGAAATCGATTGATAAAATATTTTCTTAAAAAATGTCTAAATCGTTCCTCGGGTCCAACGGGCATTTTATTAAAATAGGTCCAATTTTTGTTTAAATGAGGACTAATAATGTGATTTATATAATTGTGTCGTTAAGTCCATCCTCATATACTTAAAAAAGCGGTCTGGATATTTTTTTAATTCATCGAAGATCCGATGGTATTCTCTTAATACGTTTCTTTTTTATTAAGATCGTGCACACTACACCGTCTACTTAGTAATAATACTTTTTT